AGATCAGCAACAAGGGAGTCCAAACTAATAGAAGTGCTTAGGCTGGGAAATAAACTCCAATGAGCTGCGGACCGTGCCATTCCTGCCTCATAGCTCATATTAACAAAAAGGTGGCCTTGGGGCAGCCAGAAGGGTTAATTTTATATTCATCACCCAATGTAAATGTTTCAAGTGTATTTCTCTTTTAGTTCTATCCTGAGCACAGTGAATGCAGTCTCCCATTTCAATTTTCAAACAACAGATGGGAACCGTCTGGACTTCATCACATGCTATTATTTTGCCAACATTTAGTTTAGTGCATCATGGAGAAGGCTATGAATTGGCACTGTAACAATGCCCAGATTGGGAAAACTGCTTAGAGAGCATTTCAGATCTTATATGGAGCATATACTGGATTGTACTCACATCTGAAAACAGAAAGCTCCTTTCATTCAAACCCAGCTCCTGCAAACAAAGAAAAATGAATGAAGTGCCATATAATACTTCACTCCACTCTATGGCAGTGCCACTCTATGGCAGCCCCAACTGTCATAGTGTAACTAGGCCCCTGAGAATAATTGCAGGGTTTCCTGAAATTTGCTTGCTTGTGCTTACATAAAATCTGCTCCCTTCCTTCTAAGCCCCACCCTTTTCTCTACTATATTCCAGCTGAAGCAAAAAGCTGCACTGCTACTATAAACATAATGAACCAAACAGTGGCTAAATGGCACTTCCACCTGGCAGCCCTAGGGTTGTCGGTTTGAATCCCAAACATGGCCTGCCTGGAGTTTGCATGTTCTCCCCGTGCCTGCATGGGTTTCCTCCCACACTCCAAAGACATGCTGGTAGGTAAACAAGCTCCTGTCTAAATTGGCCCTAGTATATGTATGTATGAATGCGAATTAGGGACCTAAGATTGTAAGCTCCTTGAGGGTAGGAACTGATGTGAATGTACAATATACTGCATATGTTAAGTGCTGTGTAAACTGACGGCACTATATACTGTAAGTCACTGCAATAAATAAGTCTATGGACTTTCCTTTCAGTCCCAAATGCTGAGTTTAAAATCTAGCTCTAGATAAAATGTCTATTATTTGTTTTGGATAAAGAGGGGGGGATATGAATGGCTTGGTTTTAAATGATCTCTTTGCGCCTATAGAGGAAATTTCTCTTATCCTCTTGTTCTGTTGCCTTGGATAGGAAGTGAAATCTATCTGATAGGGGCACAGAAAGCAATAAAATCCTGCTATAAAGTGCTTTTCTGTTTTTATTCTCCATAATAGCAAAGAAAATGCCTCTTGGCATTGACTAGGCCTGAGGTAGTCAAGCCTCCACTGTTACAAAAAGAAATAGGGAAAAGGAATGGAAAATGTGCCACTAAGGGTCCCCATCTATAAAGCTGTGGTATAGGCATACTGCTGCCATACTTCTACTTCAAATAAGATATAAAATATGCCGATTTTAAAAGTGAATATGCTTAGCACTCATTTTGCTTTGGATCAAACTTTTAAAATGATTGGCACAGAAAGGTTGGAGTGAAAGTGATACCCTTTAATGGATAACTTAAGTTATGAAAGATGGAAACTTTTGGGATGACCTAGATTGCTTCTTCAGGCTTTGTACAATTCAAGTCTGTATAAATCTGAAAAAGGGATCTAAGTCATCCGAAAAGTCTGCATCTGTAATAACTTAAAGATGAATTTCAGGTATATAAATTCTTACATAGTTACATTGGTCCAGTTTGCACCAATGTAAGTATCTACAGTCTATGTGCCACACCAGTGGGATTCCCATGGAAGCTGAAAATCACTGTAGTAGACACCGTTACCATAATGATCTCCACTAGCTTCCAGGTGCCAAGAAGCTGCCATGTTGCTTAGTGAATACAGGGGGCCAGGAGCTTGGCACTAGCGCCATTCAGAGAACACTTAGCATGATCTCAATTAAATAAAATGTTCTCTGATTGGACAGGGTGTAGATTATGATGCCACTGCCCTATTTCTTCTTCCCATTCAATCAGAGAATACTTTGCATTCATGGAGACAATGCAAAGTGTTCTCTAAATGGTGTCCGCATCGAGCAAATGACCCCTCTGGTCAACAATGGACCCAATGGAGGCACAGCTACTACAATGATAACCAGCTTCTACAAGGCTGATCTAATGGAATGGAATGTAAAAATTGCCTGAAATTCACTTTTAAAATGGAGGATAAGGCTTATATTTAAAATGTTCCCTCCCCACTTCTACCTATCCTGCATACCCTGTATAAAAAAAAGATCTATGTACTTACCTAATCTTAATCTGCTCCAGTCTGGTCATGGGATCCTGGAGCTCCAACTCCTCTGTGTCACGAGCCATGGGAGCCTATGGGTGACAACATGGCTCAGCAAACTCACAGCCATTGTCGGGAGCTCCCTTACACAGTGAATCTGGAGCTGCAGGATCACATGACCAGAACAATATAGGTAAGTACACAGATCTTTTTAATACAAGTTAAGCAGGATAGGTAGAGGAGGGGGGAGGGAACATTTTTATGAATAGTTAGTATTAGCCTTTACTACCTCTGTAAGTTAGCCAGTAAAGGGTGTCACTCAGGCTAAGTTTGCACTAGCTTCTAAACCAGGCATTTCATGAGCGTTTTTGAAGCTCCATAAATGTCTGTCAAAACTGTGCGCATTGCAGCACCCACAGATGTGTGCATTGCAGCACCCATGTGAGTTTCATATGGTTGTCTTAGCATTGAGTCACATTGTATTGCATCAAAACTGACCCAACACGTGCCGCTTGACAGGTTTTGTCTCTCCCAAATGCTTCCATTGATGTCAATGTAAATGCAGTGCAAACATGTCTGAAATGCCTTTATGGCATGTCCAGCACTTTTAAGATGCGTTTACAAAGCATTTCTAGCTGAGATGATAATACAAAAATCCATATCATAAAAAAACAACACAGAGGGGGTGTAAGCACCTGTGGTAGTGAGTCCTTGTGGATAATCAACTTGGGGTTCCCCAGGGCGCAGAGTCTAAGCCCCACCCTGCTTCTTCACCAGAGCCCCTGATGGTGGGGATGGACTTGCAGCAAGCTGGGACCAGGTCGCGGCCTCCAGGTACGCCCAGCTGAGGATAAGGAGACCGCTCGCGGGAGCAGAGTACAATGGGAGGAGACAAACGGAAATCTGATAGACTAGCCGAGGTCAGGACAGCTTGAAAACAAGCACAGTCAGAGAACAAAGCCAGGGTCAGTACACAAGTAGTTAATGCAGGATACAGGAGATAGCAACTGTCAGGAATGGACTGGCCAGCAATAGTGGGACTCAGCTGCCTTATGAGCTGCAGTACCAGGGCTGGCCAGCGGGTGCTCCCAGCAATCAGAGACTCAACCTTGCAGCCAGTCAACCACCTGGAACTAATTATACTGATGTATTTAAGGGACATTCAGACCTGCAGACTCTGCCTTGGTGTTGTGTTTCTCTTGGGCCCTGTATCCTGTTCCTGCTCTCTGTTCCTGTCTGATTCTCTGCTGACCCTGCTCTGATCCCTGGCTTGTCTGACCATTCTCCTCTACCTGACCCTCTGTACCACGCTGCCCGCTACCTGCTGAACCTGGCCTGTGACCCCGACCATTCTCCGCTTGCTCCCCCTGTACCTACCTGCCCGACTGATATTGACCCGGCCTGCCTGACGACGCTTGCATTGTATGTACTGTTATCTGTGGGTGGTTGGTTGGTTTGTTTGCACTGTGTTATGTTTTAGTATTGCACTGCGTTTATGTTTGTACTGTTAGTGTTAATAAATTACATTGTTTATAACATATCTGAAGTCTGCGTTTCCCTGCGTCAGTCACACACCTCTGGTCATACCCGGGAGCCCTGACATTACACCAAGGCCAATCCTGACCAGAAGTGGCTGCACAGGGAAGCCATCTTGGCTTGTTGATGGGAAGGTTGGATCTGGATGAGGTTGCGTATTTATATCTGCTAGTGTTTGACGACAGGGAGTATGCTTATCAAACTCTGAAGGAGTATACCCGGGATGAACTGCTAGAATGTATACGGCTCGCTCATGTTCTAGTAGATCAGGGCACAGAGTTCTCTGAGGTGCAGCCTTTGATTGAGGTTTGTGTAGAGTTGGTTTCATCTGGTACCCCCGAATGCAGGGATGAATTTTTGCCACCATTTAGTGCAGACCAGGTAGAGTCCCTGGTGTGGTTATTAGAGGATGATGTGGGTTACTTTCTGGAGCGTTATTCCACATGTTCACCACAGACACTAAGAGATTGTATAAACGCAGTGCAGTCTTTGGTCAGACAGGCTTTGTGTAAGCTCAGCTTTGTTCAACCCATACTGCAGACATGGACAGATTTGTTACACCCAGCCTCAGTCAGCTTACAAAAACCCTGTCCTGCTTCTAATCTATTTCCTCAAAACTCTATTCCTGCATTCCCAACAGCTCCTCCTGCCCTGCTATCTACCGCATGTCAGTACCCTGTTCCCACTCGCTGCACCTATCCTGCCTTTAACCCTGTAAAAAAGCCCTCTGTAGCAACTGCTCCCTCTCCTGTTCCATCCTCCAGTTCTTCTCTGTCTCCAGCTGCTCCATTCGTTTGCAGACCTGCGTTTACTTGCAGTGCTCCAGTAGTTAAAACCAGAAAAAAGCGAAAATTCTTTCCAACCAATACCATCCTGCCAGTATCCAAACCGGTGAACCTGCCTTCCGTGACTCAGCCTGAAGCCTCTACTCAGCCTGATGCCTGTACTCGGCCTGATGCCTGTACTCGGCCTGAAGCCTCTACTCGGCCTGAAGCCTCTACTCGGCCTGAAGCCTCTACTCGGCCTGATGCCTCTACTCGGCCTGATGCCTCTACTCGGCCTGATGCCTCTACTCGGCCTGAAGCCTCTACTCGGCCTGATGCCTCTACTCGGCCTGATGCCTCTACTCGGCCTGATGCCTCTACTCGGCCTGAAGCCTCTACTCGGCCTGAAGCCTCTACTCGGCCTGAAGCCTCTACTCGGCCTGAAGCCTCTACTCAGCCTGAAGCCTCTACTCAGCCGGACGCCGGCATTCAGCCTGATGCCTCTACCCAGCATGATGAACTGATCCAGCCTGACGATCCTATTAGGCCAGTTGACTCGATGCCCGCTGTCGAGCCAGACAATCCGGTACCTGATGACCCGGTGCCCACTGTCATGCCTGTTGACTCGGAGCCCACTGCCTTGCCAGATGACGCGGTGCCCGCTGGCGAGCCAAATGACCTGATGCCTGGTGACCCAGTGCCCGCTGTCATACCTGGTGACCCGATGCCCGCTGTCGAGCCAGACGATCCAATACCTGGTGACCCGGTGCCCACTGCCTTGCCAGATGACGCGGTGCCCGCTGGCAAGCCAAATGACCTGATGCCTGGTGACCCAGTGCCCGCTGTCATACCTGGTGACCCGATGCCCGCTGTCGAGCCCATCCAATACCTGGTGACCCGGTGATGATGACGCGGTGCCCGCTGGCAAGCCAAATGACCTGATGCCTGGTGACCCAGTGCCCGCTGTCATACCTGGTGACCCGATGCCCGCTGTCGAGCCAGACAATCCGGTACCTGATGCCCCTGTCGGTGACTCAGAGCCCACTGTCGTGCCTGTTGACTCGGAGCCCACTGCCTTGCCAGATGACGCGGTGCCCGCTGTCGAGCCAAATGACCTGATGCCTGGTGACCCGATGCCCGCTGTCCAGCCCAGACGATTCAATGTCTGCCCCAGTGCCCGCGGTCATGCCAGTTGACTCGGAGCCCACTGCCTTGCCAGATGACGCGGTGCTCGCTGTCGAGCCAAATGACTTGATGCCTGGTGACCCGATGCCCGCTGTCCAGTCAGACGATCCAATGTCTGACCCAGTGCCCGCGGTCATACCAGTTGACTCGGAGCCCACTGCCTTGCCAGATGACGCGGTGCCCGCTGTCGAGCCAAATGACCTGATGCCTGGTGACCCGATGCCCGCTGTCCAGCCAGACGATCCAATGTCTGACCCAGTGCCAGCGGTCGTGCCAGTTGACTCGGAGCCCACTGTCGTGCCTGGTGACTCGGTGCCCGCCGCTTCGCCTGGGGGCCCGAGACCTGTCGCTCCGCCTGGGGGTCCGGCGCCCGCCACCCCGCCTGGGGGCCTGAGACCTGTCGCTCCGCCTGAGGGCCCGAGACCTGTCGCTCCACCTGGGGGTCCGGCGCCCGCCGCTCCGCCTGAGGGCCCGAGACCTGTCGCTCCGCCTGGGGGTCCGGCGCCCGCCCGCTCCGCCTGAGGGCCCGAGACCTGTCGCTCCGCCTGGGGGTCCGGCGCCCGCCGCTCCGCCTGAGGGCCCGAGACCTGTCGCCCCGCCGGGGGGCCCGAGCGCCTGTCTCCCCGCCTGGGGGCCCGAGGCCTGTCGCCCCGCCTGGGGGCCCGAGGCCTGTCGCCCCTCCTGGGGGCCCGGCGCCCGCCGCTCCGCCTGGGTGCCCGGCGACGGTCGCCCCGCCTGGGGACCCGATGCCGGCCGTCGCCCCCCGCCTGGGGACCCGATGCCGGCCGCCCCGCCCGGGGGCCCGGTGCCTGCTGCTCCGCCCTGGGGGCCTGCTGCTCCGCCCGGTGGCCCGCTGCTCCGCCCTGGGGGCCCGGTGCCTGCTGCTCCGCCTGGGGGCCCGTGTGCCTGCTGCTCCGCCTGGGGGCCCCGGTGCCTGCTGCTCCGCCTGGTGGCCCGCTGCCTGCTGCTTCGCCTGGGAATCCGATGTGCCTCTGCCCGGAGTCCGGCCCGATGTGCCTCTGCCCGGAGTCCGGCCCGATGTGCCTCTGCCTGGAGTCCTGCCCGATGTGCCTCTGCCCGGAGTCCTGCCCGATGTGCCTCTGCCCGGTGTGCCTCTGCCCGATGTGCCTCTGCCCGGTGTGCCTCTGCCCGGTGTGCCTCTGCCCGGTGTGCCTCTGCCCGATGTGCCTCTGCCCGGTGTGTCTCTGCCCGATGTGCCTCTGCCCGGAGTCCAGCCCGATGTGCCTCTGCCCGGAGTCCTGCCCGATGTGCCTCTGCCCGGAGTGCTGCCCGATGTGCCTCTGCACGGAGTCCTGCCCGATGTGCCTCTGCCCGGAGTCCAGCCCGATGTGCCTCTGCCCGATGTGCCTCTGCCCGGAGTCCAGCCCGATGTGCCCCTGCCCGGAGTCCAGCCCGATGTGCCGATGCCCGGAGTCCTGCCCGGTGTGCCAGTCTTTGATATCCCGCCAGTTACCAGACCCGGGCGGTGGAACATTTTGCCCAGCTAGGACTGTTTGGAGCGTCCTGAGGCCGCTCCTTGGGGGGGGGGGGTACTGTCAGGAATGGACTGGCCAGCAATAGTGGGACTCAGCTGCCTTATGAGCTGCAGTACCAGGGCTGGCCAGCGGGTGCTCCCAGCAATCAGAGACTCAACCTTGCAGCCAGTCAAACACCTGGAACTAATTATACTGGTGTATTTAAGGGACATTCAGACCTGCAGACTCTGCCTTGGTGTTGTGTTTCTCTTGGGCCCTGTATCCTGTTCCTGCTCTCTGTTCCTGTCTGATTCTCTGCTGACCCTGCTCTGATCCCTGGCTTGTCTGACCATTCTCCTCTACCTGACCCTCTGTACCACGCTGCCCGCTACCTGCTGAACCTGGCCTGTGACCCCGACCATTCTCCGTTTGCTCCCCCTGTACCTACCTGCCCGACTGATATTGACCCGGCCTGCCTGACGACGCTTGCATTGTATGTACTGTTATCTGTGGGGGTGGTTGGTTGGTTTGTTTGCACTGTGTTATGTTTTAGTATTGCACTGCGTTTATGTTTGTATGGTTAATGTTAATAAATTACATTGTTTATAACATATCTGAAGTCTGCGTTTCCCTGCGTCAGTCACACACCTCTGGTCATACCCGGGAGCCCTGACAGCAACACACAGGAGCTCCGACAACTAGGAAGTTGCTCAGACAAAGTGGCCTAGACTGAGCATGTCTTATATAGGCAGGCAAACAAGGAGGCGGGCCAGGAAGTGATGGAAGGAAATAATACCCAGAGAACAGCAGACGATGCCCAGAGGTGAGCACAGATAAACACACATGTGAAAGGGATCAGGAACAGCACTGAAGCATGGAGGTAAGAACACAAACAAGAAACTGCAGGCTAACTTGTGACGGGCTTCTGGGAAGTGCTTTTTAACTTGACTCAAATGCATCAAGAACTGCAAATGCATCATTGAAAACATGCTGTTAATGCGTTCTAACGCCTTGACTATTGTAACTCCCTCTTCATTGGCCTACCTCATCACAGGCTATCCCCTCTTCAGTCTATCATGAATGCTGCTGCCAGACTCATCCACCTTACTAACCGTTCTGTATCTGCCACCCCTCTCTGCCAATCCCTCCACTGGCTTCCCGTTGCCCAACGGATAAAATTCAAAATGTTAACAATAACATATAAAGCCATTTATAACTCTGCCCCAAATTACATCACCGATCTTGTCTCTAAATATCACCCAAACCGTACTCTCCGCTGCTCACAAGACCTCCTACTCTCTAGCTCCCTTGTCTCCTCCCATGCTCATCTCCAGGACTTCTCCAGAGCTTCCCCCATCCTCTGGAACTCTCTACCCCAATTTATCAGACTATCGCCTACTCTGCTCACTTTTAGGCGATCTCTGAAAACCTATCTCTTCAGGGAAGCCTATCCTGCCCTCAGCTAATACTGGAATCTTCTACTTTTCCAACCAGTCCATCCCCCACAGTTACTAACTTTTGTAGCACTAGCCCCTCCCTCCTAGATTGTAAGCTCCAAGGAGCAGGGCCCTCAAATCCCTCTTGTGTTGAACTGTATTGTCTCCCATTATATTGTAAAGCGCTGAGCAAACTGTTGGCGCTGTATAAATCCTGTGTAATAATAATAATAAATGCAATAGGTATATGAATTGGCACTTACATTTCTTTGCACATCGAAATGAGCCCTTAAACTCCAAATTTTCTACATGAATTGATGGCTAACATGGTACATTACTCAACTACTGTTATAATGTTTGGAGAAAAAGCTGGTCGAAGAGATTCTAAATGCAGGAGTGCCTGTGTGAGCACCCTCCTGGTGTCTTAGTGCACATGGGAGGAACGGGTACAACATCCAGCCCCACTGCAGGCAACCTGTTAAAGCCTATGGCAGGCAAACCCATTTCCACTTTGGTGATTTTATTGCTGCCCTCTTCTTCATCGGAGGCATTGTCCCAGCAAAAAAAAGAAAACTAGCAGGTCTCAAATCCTTCCTATTCTATCCAAAGCTAAAAAAAAATGTTTAAAGTTGAGCTATATTTCTTCTAACTTATTATCTTTAAAATGACACGTCTTTTTGAAATGTCACTGATTCTCCTGAGGTAAAGCCTTTTCTGATCTCTGTATTTTTTTTCTGAGGAAATAAAAAGAAACGTGCATTTTGAAAATAAATGAGTACATATTTATTTCTGTCCCTAATCCTTAAGGCGGCATTTCTGGGAACATTGTTTTGAGCGAAGAGTCTAAGCTTTGTATTCTATTCTGAAAACAGTGTTAGAATATATTTAATGTGAAAGTTTGCAGGAGAGTGCTGTTTGTGTGGAACTGATCAAATGTCAAAGAGAATGTAGATCTCTTCATTATGGCCACGCATTGGATAATGAGAGAAAACATAGAAGGAGCAAGGAGTAATATCACCGCTGAGATAGCTATAATAAATTCAGGGACTGCACATGATATTTTGATAGACGCAATCAAGAATAATACAACCACTTACAGCTTTCATTTCTCTTGACATTTGTATTTGAATTACAAGTAAATTGCATTTTCTATTCCCAGCCGCAGGTTAACGTACAGCCAGGTGACAGGGAGAATGCATGAGGCAGTAACATGGCACCAGATTGTCATTGTGCATGATGGCTTTGATAAGAAAAGAATGCTCCTTTTAGCCAGTGTTGATTTTGGTTAGTTACATGGCAGGGGAGGAAGCCCAGCAAGCTCAAGGTACCAAGTTGGGATGAGCTTAGTGTTTAGCCCATATGTTAGTTTGGACCGAACACTGGCTATTCATAATGCTGAACATTTAGGTCGTTTGGCTGTCTCGACTGTCAATGGTTGTTAGAGTGATTCTAAAGGTTATTTTTGTTTTCTTTAAAATGCCAAACATGTCCTACTTACCTGCTCTGTGCAATGGTTTTTTCACAGAGCAGCCCTGATCTTCCTTTTTCTTTGTTTCCCCCCGCCGGCGCTTGTGGCCCCTCCTCCTTGCCAAGTTCACTCGTGCATGCTCGCTTCCGAGCCAGCTCTCTGTTTCTATGTGACACACAGACTGTGGCTCAGTCCCGCTTCCATGTCACTGGCTGTGATTGACAGCAGCTGGAACCAATGGCTCTCGCTGCTGTGTCTCAGCCAATGAAGAGAGAGAGGCTTAGTTTGACAAGGGAGCACGCTTAAGCCCTGAGAGGTCTAGCGCATGCTCCGAAACGCGTCGCTATGCATGCTGGTCCTCACACGTCATCACGCTGACACCAACGTCGCGCCCCAAGGTGCGATCCAGACGCCATCTTTAGAAGACTACACATGCCGGCCTGCTCTTTCTTACATCCACAGTCTTCAGAGTGTGGACGCGGTTGACACAGCATGGACACAGCCATCCTCCCATCCTTTTGAGCTTGCTTTCATTATACAACATGTGAGTTGTTCTACATTTGTTACTTATTAAAAGTTGTCCATACTGCACTTAGAGGCGCTTCTTCTCTTCTCTATTCTACACAGAGTTTTGCTACTACTACATGAGGCTTGCCCTAGTGCTATATGGACTTTTGTAGCCCTACATTGGACTTTTGGACTTTTTTACAATTCATAATAGCTGGTTGTAAGCACTTTGCGCTGATTGTTCTCTAAATGAGGAGAGAGAGACCCGGAGAGCTGAGGCTCCCATTAACAGTGCTAGATGAAGATCAGACTTAGGCAAATATTCGGGGGGGGGGGGGGGGGGGCAGCACACTGAAGGTTTTTATTACAGACAGAGACAACAGTGGCTGTTAGAACTCGAATGGAGCCTTACATCATTGCCTAATTATAGCCACATGACTATATTTGGGAAATGATGTCACCAGTATCCCCATACAGCTGTTGAAAGCTCAGAGAGCTATCATTCAGCCACTTTTAGGCTACTTTCACACTGATCCATAGCAAAAATGGGGCAAAAACACATATTAATTTTTGCTTCTTTTTTGTTGTGCATTTTTTAAAGGACACGTGACTCAGAAACTGCACCAAAAATGCAACGTGAGTACATTTTTGATGCGTTTTTGTTGCATTTTGTATTGATTTCAATGGGGGGGGTTTAGTGCGTT